CCCCCCCCCTCAGCCCCAGCCAGCATCCCTCCATCCTCCCTCTGGTGTCTTCAAAGAAATACCTGTTTTCCTAAAAAAATATATATATATCTTGCTACAAAAACAAATGTAAACAGTCTTTACTCCACTAGCAGCCCCTTAAAAGGTACCAAAAGATTTGACTCTATAACCACAACACAAAAAGCAAAAGAAAAAAGATTGCTTCTAATGAGAGCAATTTCAAACTTATGGCGTCGAGTTTAGTCGGTCTGAGCATCTCGAATATAATGAGAAGTGTTCACCCAGGGGGGAAAATAAGGTTTGACCATGTACCGAACTGAGATTAGATGCCCTCCCTCTGATTTGGAAAAGGAAAAAAAAAAAGCGTATGTGAATTCTAAATATGACCCGAAAGCAGACAGGTAAAGTCTAAAGAGCTGGATTCCAAAACCTTTCACATCATTAGTGACACAACCTGGATATGTTTGACTTAAATACAATCTGCTGAAACACAAATTCTCAAATTACAAAGCGCTCAAGGTTTTCCGATGCTGAAAACTGCTTCAAGGTATACGCTGTAAGCGTCCATGTTGAAGGCCGTCCGTTTGTTTTACCGGGAAAATTATTATTCTTCTCTAACTCACGGCTCACAGTTTGATTAAACTTTAAAATCTCTTTATTCTCACCTTAGAATAACTTTTTGTGAGGCGAGAAAAACCGAAGTCATGGCAGAATCACACCCAACCGTCGGTTTTAAAGGGCCAATCAGCTTCAACGGTGGGACCTTTGAACCTTTAGGTGGTCGTAATGTTACGGCCAATCCGGTTTGCCTCGACAGTGAGTGTTTTGGACAAACCGACGTGAGCTCTGGCAGAATGAGGGTGCGTCAGGTGACAGCTGTGTGGAAACGCTGAGGCTTTTTTTAAGGTAGTGTACAAAACATGCAACCGGTGAAAAACGCCACTTATCACTGACCAGAGCCGGACACGACGATGCTTCCACAGAGACCCTAATGCTTTGGCCACGCCCTGACAGCTAAAGTGGCTTTGCATAACTTCCACCCCGACACACAACATTTTCACACAGACGGACGACAACAACACTGTCCGAGGACAAACAGGTGACCAGGCACTGACAGGACCGCCCTCATTTCAACTCTTTTCGATAAGCGTAGAAAAATAGTTCTTTTCCTCCTTCTTTAGCGCCTTCGTTCCGGTCTTTTGTTGAAAATGCGACCTTTTTCTCCTACAAAAGAGTCCCTTTTTTTTCTTGTGGTGTTTTTGGAGAAACTAAGGCAGCGAGGCAGAGGAGTCACTCCCCATAAGTCGACAAATAAGAGTGGCCGCCACTTTTAGGCTCCTGACTGGTGTCTGAACAGAAGACAAGTTCAAAATGAAAAATTTGCTGAGTCAGAGGGGCGTTTCCTTAGCTGAGTTTAAGAGACGGATGAAAATAAATCGATGAAAAACAAGTTGGATGGGTCGCTTGGATGGCGATTTCACTTCATTCAATTTTTAAAAAATGTAACTCGGTAATGTCTTCTGGTCACTTTTAAGTCTTAACGTGTAACAGTTCCCGTTGACGGAAAAAGGCAGCATATTTTGCAGATTTTTCTTAAGATGCTAACATGCTACATAGAGGTAACCTACTGAATTCTCAGCAATATGAGTTCAAACACTGTAGGCACGTCTCTCTGTAAGACTGCACAGAGAGAGTATTCATACTATTAACCCCACCAGTCCATCCTTTTGATTACACGGAGGGTTCAGACCCCAAAATCCTTAGTCTCTCTCTATAAAACTTTGTATCCTAAAAATATGTAGACATTAAGGGAAAGAAAGTTACATACTTAAACCATTTTGACCTATCAACAAATAAAAAAAACAAATATATAGAAGATAAAATAAAAGACCGATATAGAACATGCTAAAAAAAAAAAAACACAAAATAAAACATCTAACAGACCATTCAACGAATAGAAATGATGTGTCACAAGCTGTGCGACAGATTGGTTGGTGTGCAACACGTGTGACCCCTGAGGACTGAGAACTGAGCGTGAGCCTTCATTATGTTTACACCATCTTTTGGGGGACGGACAAAACGTTTGATCCTCACTCACATACTGTAAATGCAATTACACAAACGCACACAACCCCCTCCGGTCTTGTACCGTTGCTGTTAGGTGGTTGTCATCGACGTAACAAGTCCTGTCGAGAATGCAAACAAGAAACAGCTCAAAAAAAGGAAAGAAAACTCAAATAGTCTAATTTTTATAGTACCATTTCCTGCAAAAAGCATTATTTGCCTTTACAAAATAACATAAGAAGATGTAGCAAATTGCATTTCTGTATGATAACGCCATCATCATCATTATTATTATTACCATTTTTATTATTAATATAAATGTTAAGCAGGTTAATAGATAGTTGTTCTATTAGGCAGGCAGCCAGGCACATAGCTAGGTTCATGGCACAGAGGAAGGTAGAAAATAATGTCACTTAGTTTGATCCGAATGGATGAAAAGAACACTTCAGTCCAGACTTAGAGCTCTTTTGTCAGTTTGAACTGGCTTTGAGCACTTTCAAAAAGTCAGAGTCGAGCCCCCCCCCCCCCGGCAGTCTTCAGTCACCATGCAGTCATGGTGATTTTGCATTGATCCAGGGACTCGATAAGTTTGAGAAGAACAGAGGGCATGTTAGCCCCCTTGAGCTGCAAACCAGCCCAAACCGGGGTTAGACAAACCAGGCCAAACGAGGCGAAATTTGATTTGGTTTCCATCCACTTGCACAGGAGAAAAAGACAAAAAAAAACATGCTCTGGGCACATAGTTCCAACCAGATCTGATCCGGTTTTGACCAAAAACAAAAAAACAAAACAAAAAAACATGAGACTAGTTTGGACCGACTTATAAGCGTGACGCAAAAAAAATGAACTCCGAGTTAAAGTGTGTTTTTTGTTCTGACGTTTGGTGGCTGTGCAAGTGCTCCTCAGCCTAAATAACCAGTCCCGCCTCCAGTCATCGTATTTGGAAAGCACCGGAGGTGGCCGTTTTCTAAAAGCTGATTCCAGCTGCACGGCTTGGCCCTGCTGACTTCTGCCTGTGAGCTGTGGAGTGAGCGTTACTCAACAGAGGGCTGGGGCTGTTTCTCCAGACTGCCTCTGCCGTTGTTTAGCTGGGTCCTGCATTGATAGTTTTTTATCGTTTAGTTTTTTACCGTTGGACAGCGGAGTGTTTGCAGCATGAGGATGCGTTCCGTTTAGTTCCCGGGATAAGCCCGCGTCGACATGAACTGGCCTCCAGGAGCGTGGAGGCATCAAGCTTATTCATCCAATAACACGTTTGTGAAGGTGTGCGTGAGTCGGAGACGCCGTTTAGTTTTCATCTGGAACTTCTCGACACTTCTCAGAGTCCGGAACGTTGGCCTTCTCTGTGGATTTCGCCGTGTCATCTTTCGTTTCGGACGCCGGTTCCTCGTCGGCGCCGGCGTGCTCCTCTTCAGCCGGCGTTCCGCCATCGCCGGCGTCCTGGTCGGCGTTTCCTTCGGCCTGGTCGTCGTCGCTTTCGCCCATGGCTTCGGCCTCGCCGTCCTTTAGCTCCGACGCCGCGTCGCTGCTGTGCTCGCTCTCGGACGGCGCCGCCGCGTCGGGCATGGCGGCGTCCTGCGTGTGACCGCTCTGCGGCGAGGCTCTGTCTGAGTACCGGTGTAAGCCCCTCTGTATGTGAGTGGTGAAGTCGTAGCGGTCTGCGCACACGTGCAGGCAAAAGCCGCACTGGTGTGGTCCCTTGTCGCCGTGGCAACTCATGTGCAGGGCGTACATGACTTCGTCCAGGAAGTAGATCCCACAGTGGACGCAGCGGTTCGTCAGCTCGTCCTGCGTGGCCACGTCCACCGCCGTGCGGCCGGATGTAGCGTCTGACGGATACTTTGTCAAATGATCTCTCACTCCCGTCCCCGTCTCCTCACCCGGGCTCCCTCCTTCATCAGTCCTCTCCTCCTCCTCCTTCTCTTTCCAGTTCCCTCTCAGCCTCTCTGGCAGAGGAGACTCCTGCTCCGGCCTCCTCTTCTCGGCGCCGTTTGTGGACAGATGCGTGTTTACGGCGCTCGTGTCTCTTTGTCTTATCGCAAGATCCAAGGGAGCCTCGTTCTCTAAGGAGGACGGGGAGGAGGTCTGGGTGTGGAGAGGCGGGGGGTAGTGAGCGGGAGCGGGGGGTGGAGGCAGAGGGGAGTAGGGCGAGGCACAGTAAGGCACCGTGTAGCTCTGCTGATGGTGCTGCACAGGCGTCACCATGGCGCCCAGGTAGTGGCTGTTGTTCCCCAGGCTGCCGGGGCTGCTCAGGCTGCTGATGCTGCCGGGAACCCCGGAGGCAGCCGCCATCTTGTACTTGGTCCAGAATCTGAGCCAATCTGACTCGGGTGTCAAATCGGGCGAGAGGGTTAAAGGGAGGGGCAACGAGAAAAGGGGATACTGATATTTTTCGATGGGTGAACCAGGAGGTGAATAACTGGAGGGTTTGGATGGGCGCATGTACTTTTCAATCGGGCTTCCCCTTTCGGATCCTCCCCCCTTCCCACCTTCTACTTTGGATGTTATTCCGGCGTCTGTGAGGCCCCCGTTGCCCTCGGCTACCATGGCCGAGGCGGGGTGGGACGGCAGGAGGAGGGGCGGCATGCGTCTGTGGATCTCCAGCGTCTGATTGGCTAAGAAGGCCTGAGTGGCGCGGGGGGAGCGGGAGCGGGGCGAAGGCTGCTGGTTTTTCACAGACGAACAGCTTCTGTCTGACTCCTCCCCGTTCATGCGCTCCTCGCTGCTGATTCGCTGTTGCTTCGGGGCGGGGTTGTCGGACGCCAAGGAGTCCGGGTTGAGGCGCTTTCGGGTTCGCCGGCGGATGATTTGTTCCCCGTTGTTCTGCTTGATGATGTTAAGAGGTCTGGGTGTCTAAAATGAGAAGAAAAACATTTTGAAAAGCCTTAAAAGAGCATTGAGCTAACTAATAAACGTGATGTGGACGATTTACAACATTATTGAACAAAGATGAGATAACAATGAAAAAGTGGTTTTAGACACAGTTAACGTTATGAACGACTGAATGGCAATTGATTTCTTTAAAAATATATTTCAATCAGGGCATTTCTAGTACAAAAAGAAAGTCTAGTGTCCTTTGATTTCCTCTGGATTTTTCCACAAAATAACATTCAGCGATACATTGAAATTGTTTTATGTTTTTGATGATTTCTGTATTTTTTGCCCTAACCACAAGGGGGTGCAATTACATCTAAATAAAAAATAAAGTTTGAAAACTCAAGTTTGATTTTACAGGAAGTCTTTTCACTCAAAATCACGGATCCTGTCCAACTATATAATGTATGTATCTTAATAAAAAACCTAAAAGAAAGAAATTAGCCCAAAATATATTTATATATTTTTTTGTTGAAGAGGCAACAGTCTGGCCTGTAGAAAACGAAAAAAAAAGATTATATCCACAACACATAACTCCTATAACACGTGTGAGTACGATGCGAGTCCATTCCAATTCCAGCAGGAAAACGTCTCTGAATGGATCAAGCTGTCTTTTCTGACAGTTAAATAAACTCCACAGAGTCTCCTTTTATTAAACAACTAAATATACCTAATGAACAGTGACCTCTGTGGGGAAGTAAAAGCTCAAAAGCTTTTCAAAATTGTTAGAACACTTCAAGTTTATTTAAATTCACACAGTCGGTCTGAAATGATTAGTCATTCCGTCAAGTGTCCCTGGAAGCAATTTTCAACTTTTTGTTGTGTAATTATATTCCTCTTGTGCATCTGTTGGAATTTTAAATGATTCGCTAGAAAAAAAACTCATTTAAAATAAAAAGACTGCTTATTCTTTAATAAACGCGTCCACTGTCTACTCTCAGATGCAACCATATGCATCTGTGCATGTGTGCATATGGAAAACCTGGAACCTGTGCACGTCAGTGAAAGGGGGTAGGACTGTCGTTTCTAGTGGGAGTGTATTACAGGTCGCGCAGCAGCCCCTGCAAATATTTGTGAAGACAAGAGCCATTCGTGACACAAAGATTAGCATGTTAAGGTTCACAAACAAGTCTGCTCTGGTAATGTGAGCAGGCTAAATGTACAGCTGACGTTGAATAATGCACATGTTTGGACAGCTGCCATCTTTGACAGGAAAACTGTGAATGGCCTCTTTGGACACACCTTCAATATCGCAAACCAGATCCCCTCACTGAAATCAGGCCTAATAACGCACACATTTTTAATCCTTACATGAAGCGGGCGAAGATGGAAGAAAGTCATGGACAAATGAGACACCAAATAGAGGGAAAAACGACTTTCTAGGCCGAACGGAATAGGGACTGGATGGACTGGGAAAAATTTAGTTTTTTATGCCAAATGGAATACACACTGGATATAAAGGAAAATTCTATTTGTTAATAGCACAACAGGCAAAAACTGATTCTGTCATTGAAATGTTCAAGCCCCCGTGTGTGGCATGAAACTGAGCCCCACACAGTTCTTCATTTCTGCTAATGAAAGAGGTTCATGACTGAGTTTGTCTATCCAATTTGGAGCTCTCCTCCTCCTCCTCCTCCTCCTGCTCCTCGGCGTGCTTGTTAATATTCCATCGTCATGGGCTTTTGTATCTCTCAGAAACAAAAAAAGAATCACTGGTCTCTTTTAACAGTTTGTATTTTATTATCTTAACTGACAGAAGCGGGTTTGCAGCCACATTCAAAGGTGGACGGGTGGAAGTCGTTTTTGGTGTGCTTGTGTTGGTAAAGCTGTGAGGCAGCTGTCTCACTTTGCTTTGCTCCCAGACCGGGGCTTTGCTACTGCTGGTCCACATCATTTTTGTTCTATTTATATATTTTCACATCTCCTTCCTTTTTCTTTTTAATGCACCCTCCAACATTTCCTCATAATCTCTCCTTTCTCCCTCCAGCTCACACTCTTCACACACACTCCCCCCCCACTTCATTATCTCTCCATGCCTTTATCTTTTCCTCTGTCTTCTACCCTTTTCCCTCTGCCTTTATTTGCCTTCCCCCATTCATTTCTCTCTGTCCCTTTGTGTCTACCTTTTTCTGCCTCTTTATTCATAACTCTCCTTTCCCCTCTCAGACTCTCAAGTGTTTTACTAGCTGCTATCCTCTCTAATAATGTGTGTAGAGCGTATAAAACTTTTATTATGGGATATAAAATATGGTTGTCGTGAAGACTGCCAAGAGTAGAGGGGGCCGGGACGTGATTGGAGCAGCAGATGAGATGAACGGGTTCAACCAAGGACATCTGCAGGGGCAGGAAGAAGGGAACTGGGGTGCCTCGTTGTCTTCCCAGTGGCCTTTAAAGCTCCATTTGACAGTCGCTTTAGCTTGTTTCACCCACTGGTGTGTTTATCAAAAGCATAAGCTGTCTAAAATAAGTGTGTGAACAGGAATCTGGTGGCTCTGGAGTCTTTTTTCATGTCGATAATATTTGCAAAGGACATAGTTAGGCTCCACACCTTGAGAACACGTCTCAAGTGAACAAGTTTGCTATTCTGAAATCCAATGAATTCTAGGCCGGGTCTTTATCTCAGCTGCAGTTTAATTAAATTTGGAGCTTCCGCAGACTTTCCTCGGGCTTAGATGCTAAACTTGGTTCATCCCATTGAACCGGTTGATGGTGCCTGCCCTGAAACTCCCAGCACCCACAAAATTAAATATTAAATAACTTTTCCACAATGCCGCTTTATCACTGTGGGGTCCACAAAATAGATACCAGACTTTAATGCCGTATGCACCATTTCATTTGAGTCGTAATTGCTAATTAGCCACACAGGAGGAGTGATGATCAGTGGTCAAAGCAACCTGGATTTATGTACTATAACAAAACAGCAGTCTATAAAATGGCAACTGTACAACTTTTATGAGTCTCATTTGAGTGGATCTCAGTTCAGCCTTAAAAATTAATATCTTTATAATGACAAGCCCACATTTTAATTCAAGTCCCCTACACGTGTAACTTTTTTAAAACGTGAGTATAATTTAAATAAGTCTTTAAAATGTCTGCCGAAAGTGTTTATGCACTTTAATGCATAAAGGCGATTATTTCCTTGTGTTGACCCTATGAAGGTTTCAGGGAATTCTGCAGTATCTACTAATTGGACAATTTGCACCCATTTGCAGTGCTGATGTCTGAAATCATCATTTAAATCAACAAGATAATTACAAATATTACAGAGGATCACATTTTTATTTTTGGGGGAAATAAAATACATTTAAGTATGATATGCTATCTAAATAAATCCTTCAGTAGAAGCTTTAAGATTATTGGTTGAAATAAAAATGTTTCTGAGCTGGGAATTTCTGATTAATTATGAAAAAATTTGGGGGGAGAAAACTATCTCTAAAAACTGGGAATCTTATGCAATTGAACTGGGAATCTGACGCAATTTTTGAAGGAAACTACTTTTTATGAGGAATACATTGTACAGAATAGAGATTGCCAGGAAATGACATGCTTTTCTACACTGCTATTTTACATTTTCCATTGCAGGGGAGAAAATCTAGTTGCTGTTTTTAATGCCTTCTCTTATTCTTTTGATGTTCCTCATAAATTTGTCTGAGGGTGAGACTTTTCCACAGTTGTTCTATTGAATTTTTCCCGGCCTAAAAAGGCTGCAGTGTATGGTACAGCTGGAGTGGACAGGGCGTGCCTTACTGCTGATAACTCACCGAATGCAGCTTTTGGTATAAACCACAAGCGTTGCAGACGTAGCCTCCGTTAGCATTTTTCCTCCACAGTGATGTCTTGGTGGTCAGACAGTTTGCGCAGAAAACCCCGCTGCCTCTGCGCCGCTGTGGAGAAACACGGAGGGAAATTTAAGCATTAGACTATAACATTAGACTTTGAAATTAAAGACAAAAAAATGATAAGGAAACATTAGAAGAAAATATGTCAAGTATGAAGGAGAAAAGGAGAAGACAATGATCTGAAATAATAATAGCTTAACTTTGACTGTTCCTTAACTTCAATGACATTTAAGACAGATGGACTCGTAGTTTGATTTCAACTCATGGCCGAGTTTGGTGTCGGACTAATGATGGGCCCTCATTTATCATGCCAAATGGGAAACCCTATTAAAATAACATTTCTACTCTGCCGCTTTTTTTTTCTTCTGTTGAACAAAGTTAATAGAAAAACCCCTTAAAAAAAATTCAAGAAAAATAAGTATCTGCTGGAGGTGCAGTGTTTGTTTAGATGAGAATATGTGACAGTGAATTTGTCAAGTGCGACTTAAAAGACGTGAGAAGAAAATGAGTTATGCTTTCACCTTGCAGCACAGAATCCTGAAGTACGGCCGGTACTTTGTAGTCAAGACTTAGTTTGACTTTTACTGTATTATCATACACGTCCTCATATCCACACCTCTGCAGTTCATGGTGCAGTAGTGCATAGAAAAGTAGTGGGTGCAAGAAGGAGCGGTGGAGGGGTGAAAAGGCCAATTGTTGTAGCAATGTGCTCCATCACAGTAATGAGCCAATCAAAACGTTTCTCCATCCCATTAAGTCTTTGGCCCCACTCACCACCTTTATGACCCTGAGAGGACAGCATACCTCATCTTTCTCCCCCACAATTCTGGTTCTTTCTACATTTAAATGTCCGGCCAACCCTTTCATTCTGTTCCTAAAGTTAAATTTCATCATGGCCCCTCTCAGTTTTCAGTGCAGCCTTTCCAATCCTGCTCTCGACCGTGGAGAGATTGTGTGCTTTTTCTGCTACGATGACATCTCAAGAAATGATCAAGTGGCAGTTTTCGTCTCCTGGCAGACCTATTTAAAAAAGACTTCTGCAAAATATGCAGGAGGCTTGTTTCCGTTTGGGATGAATAATGTGGCCGGTGCCGTGCGGTCAGCAGGTGGTAGCATGCTGCGTGTGGTCAGACTGAACAGGGTAGCAACGGCACACCAGAAACAACATTTTGAGGAAAATTTAAACAAACAAAATAGAAAGTAACAGGACGAAAAGCCAGAGAAAAAGTTCTTCATGAAGTTGTGTTTTTTGACCAGCTACAGTGTGGTTATTCATTCGTCGTGGCCAGCCTTTTGCTCTCTTTAGAAACTAAGAGAAGCTGATAGTTATTGGGATTCGTCATTTGAGGAGCATGATGGTCTGCAACAGACATTTCGATCTCTCTCTTTTGAAAAATAAATAAATTTGAAAAAAGGCAAACCTTTGCTGAAACCTATGTGAAAACAATTTTGTAAAGCTTATTTTTTTCAAATGTTGTTTCTTTGATCAACTCTTGAAAATGTGGTTCTAAATAATGTATAAAATATTGATGGAACCAGCCTAGAGTTACTTTAACTTAAAAGCCACACACACTGTGCTCATTCTGTCTTTCTGCGGGTTTTGTCATCATCCCTCCATCATGTCCGACGACTTGGACAGTCGTTTTTCGGGTTAGACACAGCTGAGGATGAGAGCATTTTTCCCAGTTCAGCACCCAAATCTACGAGTTAAAAACACAGAAGAGCGCCTCACTCCAATCAGGCTTTCAGTAGTCTCAGAGCCACAGATGGAGCCACTATTAGCTCCTCCACAGAGCATCTGTTTCACGCTGCCAGCTAAAACCACGGGAGCCTGGTGAACACAGTGCTTCTCCGTTTATTTTTGCAATCTAATGCACTGGAAGGATGTCAGAGCAATTAACCACTTTACGTTTTATTTCGGAGCACACACGGACATGCATGTACACTGTATGGCCCATCAGTGCATTTCCAAACTGACCTTTCCACTTCAAGAAGACAAACAACTGTAAAAAAACTTCTGTGGAGATGCTAGTCATCATTCTGTGATGTGAGGTCCCCCCCCAGTGCTCAGGAATCTTGAAAATTAAACGGCTGCACTCGTTAAGATGAGGCATCAATTTGTTTAAATAATTAATTTGTTTCTTGCAGTTATTCTGTCACATAAAAAAAGGCATCTTTAATGGCATTCTTCCTACTGTTTGGATTTGAATGGAAAAAGAAATAACTAATCCACGTTTTAAGGAACAGCATAAATGAGTGCATATATACTCTGGGAAAAAACTTGTCTCTTAATTTCCGTGTAATAAAACATCCTGTTTCCATTAATGCTGGCTGTAATAAACACCTGAGTTAATTTCGCCAGAGTCTCGGTGGAACATGTGTTTTCAACCATCTGACATCAGACAGAAGAACGCTTACATGACCAAATTCTCAGTGGCACTCTGAGCCATGGAGACGGTTTGTGTGTGTGTGTGTGTGTGTGTGTGTGCGCGCGGGTGTGTGTGGTGCACACGCCATACGGTCACCACATGTAGAGAGACAGAGCCAGGTGATTGATTGATGTACACTTCCTGTGTGCGTTTGTGTGTGTGTGCGCGTGCGTGTGCGTGCGCGTCTAGCATTGCAAGCCAAACAGTGCGTCTGTCATCAGAATTCAGTTTCCCTCCGAGCGCCCAAATCACTCACATATGGCCCCACAGCTGCCCCTCTCTGCAACACACACACACACACTTACACACCTGAAAACACTTGCTCCCATTGGCTAATGACAGCGAGCTAGATTTGGATGAGAGGCCGTAATCCAGGCGTGTGTGTTGGAGGTAGCTTAGTTGGACTTTCACTACCGCCGGTGTGTGTGTGTGCCTGTTCGTGTACCTGGGAGGGTGTCGGTTACACAGGAAAACATTGAAATAGACCAAAAGCACTCATGTATACAAGACGCAACGTTTGGCTCACGATCGCTGACTTCCTCTTCAATCATCACCTGGTTGGCTTGATATTTGTGGAAATCTGCGAGCTCACATGCCTCAACTGTACTCACACCGACACACATTTGGACACTCGCAGCTCAATGTAAACATGCTGTTGAATGGTGAGTACTGTACATGTCTCGGTATCCCAGTGCAGTTTCTGTGCTGGGTGCACTGGTATGTACAAACAAACCGAGTGTGGACACTGTATGTTTTGCTGATTTATTACTAATACCTGGCCTCTCCCTCTCACCCCAGCCTCTGGAAAAGGGCTTTGGGTAATTAGGGCTCAGAGCCTTAATGACATCTATTTATCTGTGGCCTATAATCATTCAGTCGGCACAACCAACAACGCCCTATAACACGCACTCGCACAGAAACACAAACCCGCAGCCCTCTCCATTGAGATCTGAAAGATGTTCAGTGTGCACAAAATTAATCTCCATGTCAACTTGTGCAGTCATAATGATCCTTGTGGCTAATTGTTGAATACAAAGTCCAAGGACCAGGTTAGCCTCCAAACATTTAAGGAAATAACAGGAAATGTGAAATCACACGATTTGGGCGGGTTGTAAACAATTGTTTTAACACAAAGACTCCACCAGCAACTTTTCAAGGATCCCAAGTCCTGAGAGCGTTCTGGTCTAGCCAGCAACATCATCGAGCATTGCAGCTAGCAGCTGCCTAATTAACCATACTGGTGTCATTCTGTGAATAGATTTCCTCTGGATGCCAAAAACATCTGGAGCACCATGCGTCTAAAAAATGAGTGATGGGATTTATTCATCGGCGCAGCTTTCGGTGCTGAAGCAGTTTTTCTCTTTGTTTCTTCGACCTCCAAAGTTTTGGCTCCCGCACTTAAAAAGCCGTGCCACACTAGCACCGGCTTTTGGCTGGACCGGAGCAACGAGCCGCCTGCGTCATTAGCTGGGGGTGGGGCTAGGGAGACCGGCCAATCCGAAGCCAGCATAGTTTCCACTCTGCTCAGTTCAACAGGGAACGACCACGAAATGTTATCGGCTAAATTTATCACGCAAAGTAGTTTACCTATAGCTGGATTTACAAACATCTGTTTCGATATTAACAGCTGCATTTGGAGGTCCCGCTTGAAGGAAACTATATAAATCCAATTTGCAGCGCGGCTCATGGAAACCGATGTGTGTTTGGAATTGTGGTCAGCGTTAAGAGGCGCATTCGAAAACGCAATCAGTTTAAGACGGAGAGAATAAACAAGAGTGATGATGGGAAGACTTACTGGTTCGTAGGAAAAATGGGACAGACTCGGATCTGATCTGAGAGCATGAACTGAACTGGCCTTTACAGAAATTCAGAGGACTATCAATAATAGAAGGAGGTTTAGACATGAACTGGATGTGATGTTTGAAGGGATGCAATGGCCTGACTCTGCAGTGGCTCTGGCTGTGGTTAGATCATCAGAGTGTAAGATAGAGACGGTTTAGAACTGGTTCCAGCACCAGTCCAAAAAATGTTTGGTTTGGTAAAAATGGGGCAAATACTGCCCTGTGTTCCTCCTTTTTTACCTACTCCATTAGGACTTTGGTTACAACTAATACATTCGTCCGAATTTGGCAAAGACATAAAAAAAATGAATACCACATTTATTCGTGGTTTTGAAATTCTTGAGACCTGTTGGGAGAAATAGATGAGACGGAATCCTACAGGCTGACAGTAAATGTGTCTCCCTCACACAATGGAAATGAAAAAGCCAGCAGGAATTAAGAGTGCAATCCACACAGGTGAGGGTGCATATAAAACAACATTTACTGGTTGAGCACAATCAGCTTGGTGAGTCTCTGCTCTAATGCATAAACAGCTCTTGCAGAAAGCCTTTTTGTCCCTTGTGGTGTTAGATTTAATGCACGAATGCATAAACGAGGCTACACGACCTGACTGCTGCGGAAAGTAAGCGGTCTGAAAATGGGCCGCATTTCATCTTTGCGTGTATCAATACTCTGATTTAAAACGTGCTTTAAGACTTTTACAAGTCTGTACTTCTTTGCCAACTTTCCATTTTGTGGGCCGTGGCGATAGCTATTCTTTAAACTCAAACAGAAGATCGTGGCTGTTTACGCCGTCTTTTTTTCTACTCTACCCTAATGCACAAATAAATGATAATTTCATTTAGAATATTTCTTCCGCATCAAACATATGGCGGCACACAGCGGCTGCACATTTCAGCTGTGGTTTGGAATCCACGTAGAGATTCTCCTTGGAGCCGTACATTTACAGATGTTAAACCAACTGCTTACACTGCAGTTGGATCCGAATGGGTGAGCTGCTGGGAGCAGATAAGCATCCAAAAGGTTTGGTCTTCCACAACACTGTGCCCTTGAAGGCTATTTCAGCGTCTGTGAGCAACGTGCGGCTGCAGATTAAAGCTATAGCCGTGCTGCCTCACTCCAAATAATTTGGGGATGGAGATTGGTAGCCTGCATAAATCAATGATCTTCAAAAAACTTTCAAATATATTCTAAAAAATAAGAAAATACTTCATTTTCCGACTGAATTACATTAAGTAAAAGCAAGGCATCCTTGAAGGAAGAAAAGGGCTAACGCACGGAGAGACATGGTAAAAAGGAAAATGAAGAAGGAAAAAATGCTGAGGCACTCTGCGGTCTGAAATAAATTCAAAACAGGAGCTTTCTAAACAGTCTTTCAAAATGAAATTACCTTTAATTCACTAAAGGAATAAGTCAGCTATACTTTTAACATGCGCATGCATGCAGACAAAGTGCAATGCATGCACACACACAAACACACACACATGACTGTATGCACACTGACATGCATTAAATCAGCAATTATTTAATCAAGCTAGAAGACTAGCTGCAGGAATTAACTGAATTCCATACTGCCAAGACTAATATCCTATACAATGGATCAGACACGCATGCAGCCTTACATACAGATACAAAGGAGAAGAAGAAGCAGAGCTGTGTGGGAGGATAGAGGAATAATTTCAGATAAAGATTCCCCTTCCTCTCACATAGCCACACTGAGAGCATCTGCAGCTAATCTAACAAAGACCCCCCCCCCCCCCCCCCCCCCCCCCCCCACCCCCCAAATTATCAGGGTGTCGGGGGGGGTGTGTTCCCATGTAGCTGAAGAAGTTTATTTCTGTGGTTTTGCTCTCAGAATGCTCCCTGCATTTAAATGACAAATCCTAATAGGAAAATTAGGTTTAAGTTGAATGAATTCGAGCTGAATGCCTTGAAATTACTTCTGCTTATTTATTCATATCTAACATGGAGAAACAAAAACCAGCAACAACTCAAGGGCAAAAAAGAAAAAAATTCAAGACTTCTTAGCTCATTCAAAAGCATGCAAGGTGATCTGAGACAATGATGATTTGAAATCTTTTATGCAGAACGAGGTTTTCTTTATGTACTTTCCAGTCCACTGATGTAAGAATTGATTGAAATTCAAGTGTCAAGTAGCAGTCAGGTGTCAATCCCTGGTCTTTCTCTCAAACCAAGACAAGAGGGAAGCAACTTTGTATAAAAGAGAAAAGAGTGTGCTCAATTAGAAACACAAGGCCGGTGAATAAAGGCTCATTGTGTCAAACTACACACCATAATGTTTGACAATGCTAGACGGAGATAGAAAGCCATTTTTATGGGAACGATGAAACTCTAAGGAATGAGAAGGACACGCCATACTTAAACAGTTCTGACCATAACAGACTTGTCCTGACGCACCAAACCATTCGAAGAATAAGAAAGCCTTTTGGAATATTTTTTGACCACAGTGAGATGAGGTAGGCTCAAAGGCTTAAACACAAATGGAACAACAAGCAAAAGCCAATACCCAGATTACTTAAAAATAAATCCTTTTTTTTTTTTTAATTCAGGCATATTTAAAAGTCGACATTATTGTCCCATATTTAATTTAAAAAAACAGGTAATTTTAAGACATATTCACTCCAATTCTAATATGTTTGCATTAATGTTTGGATACATTTGACAGGAACCTAATTAAACAGTTTAAAACTGTAAAAGTCTGCGGGAATGAGAAGATTAATTATGAAGAGAGCCCCTCGGCTCTACATTAAAACAGCTTTTTCCATTCAACTGCTGGTGCAGCACAACCACAACATGCAAAAAAGGCTTGATTATCTGCTCAGAGGGTAACAGCACGGAACCAGAAAAAAAAAAAAAGCACGGAAGCAAGCCCCCAAAAATGCCCATGCTCTCCATCGTAACTTTTATGGTATGCAACCAAAAGATTAATTACTCCTTCAGGGATCAGCATACATTTAATAAGATATTGATAACACCGTGTAGACAACATGATGTGGCTTGGCTTACAGGTGGGGGGACGGTAGGTCTATCTGTACATTTGGTTGACAGATTTGTAGGACTGACATAGTTGGTAAGCACTGATCGATGTGTAACTGTGCCTCAGTTATACTGGGGAATCACTGTAAAACATTTTCAGTTATTTGTTCCATTTGCATTTGGAAAGTGTCCTCTGCATCTTATTCATTTCAATGATTAGCCGGTTATTGATCAGTAAGACCACGTGATGGTGGCAAAATGCAGCCTGATGCTCTGCTTAAAGGCTTCCATGGCGCTCACTTCTCAGCCCTCTCTTCCTCGTCTTCATTCTTTAAAAGGTGCTGTTTCTCTTGGGCTGTTCTGAGACTTTTTTTACCAACTGAGGTTGGTGCTCAGGAGAAACTGTGTGAAGCATGTCGAACAAAATCCATCGGCAGCCATTAGGTATGCAGGGTAAGCAGCAGTGGAGAATAAAGATGCTGGATTTGTAATCATTTACTCCGATAACAACAGCAAGGGCATTAATGTCTCGGAATAATTACAGAACACATGCCATCATAGAAGTGTTTGGGGAAGCACAACTCGCTGTCAAAGCCGTTCTCCTACACCTATTTTACCTCCCTTGTTATGGAGGTATTTCGAGGCCAGCATTAAATGGTCAAACTCGTAATCAGCTGTCATAAACCCAGCCATACGAGCCAGACTTGCTAGAAGGGAGTAGGTTTCACCTCTGCCAAGAGGATCAGGTGTAACAACCCCTTTATCCCCGCAGCTTTACTCCTGTACGTGACAGTATAAGCAGGAGGGGTGCGATGATCACCCATCATTGATTCATGTTGGGGGCTTTGTAGACTGAGATAATGATGACTATGGTAATTTGTCTTACCTTGGTGGCCAGAAACTCTGCATCAGCAGCTTCTATTAGCAACAGTGTCAGTTTTTAAACATCCTTGTCTTCCAGTTTCTCCCGGAACCAATCGAAACCTGAACTCAATAAGGGTGTCATGCTCTGGGTTTTCAAACTAAAGCTATGCTTGCTTCATAAAAGTGACAAAAAGAAAATCAATGAGGGCTGGATAAGGTTAAAAAAAACAACGTCCATGACCCTTTGTTACATGCACACACAAGCACAATGTATATGCCCGTCAACGGACCAACATGACTTTCTTTAAAGCTCTGAGAAGCACACGTGTCAAGATGAATGTTACAAACCGTCATAGAGCTGCAGGATGTCAATATTGTAACATATAAGCTCATGTCTCAAGTTCCCACATGAGAACTGAGTGGCAGACATAAAGAAACAAGGCAAATGGGCCACGTTGTGTGGCCCACTTCCCTCATTTCTTTCAGCCTTTCTGATCATTCTTTTCCGGCCTTTTCTTTCTCCTCCTCTTTGAATCCATCTCGTCTTAGTGCTGTGGTTCCTGCCTTTTGTTGTGCAGCAGCGAGGGTCTCGGTTTCTGTGCGACTTAGCACACAAACACACAGACTAGGCCACACCGAGGCAAAAGCCTATTTTCAGTCATCTAATTTTGATAAATGGTTGCAGATGCAAATACTTCACAGCTCTGTATTCTGGGGATAGGCCTGCTCACAAGTAAACAATGCAAAAAGAAGACGGAGCGAGGACAGGTGAAGCATGATTAGAGAACACTTTCACAGTGATCTAATT